TCCGCATCCGCATTCGCATACGTGGATGTCTAAAATTCCACATTCGCAACATCCCTAGTACGAACCACTTAGAAATAAAAACTTCTACCAGTTAGTGAGCAGTTTTATTATAAAGGTAAAGTTGTGTATACAAAACTTGAGAGATCCTGAAGTGGATTTTAATTTTGAACCAAACAATTTCTCGGACCGGTTTTTGGCCGGTTTTGGCAATGATTCTGTTCGAAGTCAAAACGAAACCCCAACTCGGTTCAAAAGCGGTGTGCAGCCCTGGGCACAATTAAGGCCTGAATGGCCTATTAATCCTTCCTACCCGCCCTTCACGTCGCGGTTTTAATACTCCCAAGAGAAACTTTCAAGCGGAAGTAGTTTAGTTGTTGCACTATGAAGTGGTACATGGATGCGCAAGTCTCATTTAGGTGTAGATAGGGCGTGGAGATGTACTCTAGGCTGCATAGTTGTAAACATTAGGTGTACATGGGTAGATATTTGTCCTTAAAAAAGGAGGCTGAAGGTTTGTAGAAGAAGCGCCGGTTATTAAATTAAGTGCGGTAGTTTTAGAAGAGAATAAATTGTGAAAATTTATATTTTCGGACTGTTCTCAGCCCATATATTTTTGCAAAAGGCACACTAAAGACTCACTTCTCCATATGATTAAAACGAGATCAGAAAGAGTTTACTGAAACACTGGCAATGTCTAGTTAATACACTTTAGAAGAATGTATACGATATGTGAGTGTGCAGCAGGGATGAAAAATGGAAATTTCGGATTGTACCTAATATCATAAAATAAATGCACCTTAATGAGACAGATTGTAGCTAAAAAAAAAGTGGCATCATTCGTATGCTGCTTGGCAAAGTTTAGCTACAAACCCATCAACAAAGTGCGAAAAAGACAATTGCTATCGACCAATGGCCAGCCAACACTACATAACCTAACCTAAGTCCACCGTTTTTTTTTTCAGAGTTAGTTAATGATGTCCAGAGCGATTTTTATTTGTTTACAATATTTTAAGTTCGAGATTTTCTTAAAAGAATTAAAAATCTTCGTATTGAAAAAAACTCAGAACACTTTACTTTGCGCACAACTAGTTTGTCTTCTATGTTTGTTTTTCATATTAGCAAACTAGTAATTTTAACACGGCCACGTACTACTAAATGTTATTTGCAGGCTCAATGGTAGATTCGAATCCTTGAGCATACGAAAAATTTTGGTATTGCTCTGCAAAACTGTCTCAATGCTTTTTAGTTGACTTTGAAATATGCCTGTAAAATCACTCGGAGTAGAGTCGAAGCTGCGTTCGTAGAAGGAAAAGCCGAAGTCTTAATATCATGCCACGGAGGTCACACGCATATTTTCGCTTTAGCATTGACACTGCGACACTTCGAATTCTAGTTTCACAAAAAATTTTCGAGACGGGGAAACTGGCCAGCCTTCGCATTAGTATCATAACAGTTAACAAACAAGCTAGTCTCGGATCTTTTATACCAGTTGATCTATTAGAACCCAGACTACTTAACAGTTTTTCATAGCAGGTAAATTTCAACACTTAGTAACACTGATTCGATGATTACTTAAAAGCTTTTCACAGCAGAACAAACAGTGCAACACTGATTCGATGATAATTTGATCTCACAAAAAAAATCAAGGAAGATAAGGGGCACCATGTCGTATGATGACAAAACTCTTCAGCAAAAAAAAAGACAAAAAAAGACTTCTGAAACACATAAACCTGATAAGTATTTATATTCTACTCAAGAGATTTCATAGTAAGAAGGCCTTTACTAGGGATGCGTATTCTGACAAAATTTTGTTCTGAGGAATTCTGACGAGTTCGTCGAGCACGCAAGCAAAGATTCCGAAATCGTTAGGGATAATCGATTGTTGTCGCATAACCACGGTGCATAACTATTCGGAATACATAGTAAGTAAGTGATAAGTGTTTTAGAGAGCTTTTCAAAATATGGTATTGAACTTGTTCCATACGAGAAGGAAAGGCAAAGATCCAGGAAACAGGCCTTCCCAAAAAAAAAAAAATCCTAATAATACTCATATTACGTTTGGGGGTGACTCCGCTCCACTAGGCATTTCAAATTGGCGACAGTTGGCAAAGAAGAGAAACGACTGGCGTGCTTTGTTGAACTCGGCTGAAATCGCTTAGGCGGTTACAGCCAGTGATAGAGTGTATGAGTATGTTTGTTGCTCTTTTACATCGTTTCAAAAGTTGAAATATCGATGCCAAAGAAAAGGGGTTCAAAAACGGTTTACTTCGAAAATATTTTTAAAGAAAGTTAAAATGAATTTAATTGAAAAGTTAAACTTTAAAAGCTTTAATTATGGATATGGAAACTAGAGAGGTAAAAGTAAGCTCTATTTCTAAGGTGTTTTTGAAGTCGGTTGCCAACTGCAAATAAACCAATTTAATAAACAAGTTAAACGAAATATTTGTGCCAAACGAGAGAGGTTATAATAAACTTTGTTTCTAAATAATTTTTGGAGTGTTGACAGCAGTAAACAAAAATTCAAAATAATTTAATTAGCAAGTTAAATTAAATATTTTAATATGGGTATCGAATGAAAGCGGTTAAAGAAAGCTCTATTTCTAAACTACTTTTTAAGAAGGTTGCCACCTGTTATAAATTCAAAATCAATTTAACTAACAAGCTAAATGAAATAATTAAATCTGGGTGTCGAACTAGAGAGGTTTAAGGGAACTTTATTTCTAAAATATATTTGGAGAATGTTGCCACCTGTTTAGAAATTTAAAATCGATTTAATTAACAAGTTAAATGAAATATTTAAATATGGGTATCGAACGCAAGAGGTTTAAGTAAACTTTATTTCTAAAATATTTTTGGAGAATGTTGCCACCTGTTTAGAAATTTTAAACCGATTTAGTTAACAAGTTAAATTAAATATTTTGATATGGGTATCAAAGTATGCAGCTTTAAAAGGGTTTATTTAGAAAATATTTCTTAAAAGGGTTGCCACATTTTAAGTAATTCCCAATAAATTGAATTGACAAGTTAAGCAACATTTGGCAGCATAACGTTAAACCTTATATCACGCGGGCGTGGTAGCCGACAAAAGCTACTTATTTTATAAAAAAGTGTAAAAGATAAGACTAGACAAATGAATGCAGAAACAAATATAATGCGAATAGTTGTGTCATATGTTTATAACCGTTAAGTTTGAAATACGACTCAAGCAAAAAAAAAAAACAAATAGTACCAATTGCATTATAATGAAGAGAATTTATTTGAGTTTAATTTTATGTATATTCATAAATATGTACATATTTGCTGTATAAAAATTTCGCTCCAAATTTTCTCCAGACTACAACACTTCCTAAAGAATAAGGGCGGAGTTTAAGAAAGAGACGAAACGTACACATATTTACTTATGGGTGACTAGATACAATTTCTTAATATTCTTAACTCACAATGATGTATTTACATAGATGCCTCCGTACATGCACAAACTGCTTTGCTCTCATCTCTGGTACGTTGTTCTACGAGTTTCTTAGCGTTTTTGAGTTCTCGACAGCACACTAGATACTATTCGTTGTCGTTGTTCTCTTCCCAGTCTGTGGAGCCGTTTAAACGGAAATTATGAATGGGATGTTGTGTACTTATGTAGTACGAGCATTCGTAACAGCAACCTGGCTTTCATGGCCAAAACCGCACTAACTAGCGCACACTTGGAAGAGTTTTTTCATTTCATTTCATTTGATTGCTATTCACCAGCACATCTTAGACTCGTCTTACCGCTTTCGACTCAAATCCATAGAGATGTGTATGACTCAAGAGAGCAGGAAAAATGGAATGGGCTAATGTTAGTATGTATGTAAATGGCTATAAGCGAAAATACCTACATACTACGTGTGGGCTTCCTATTTCATTCAAAAAGTTGCTCAGATAAACACTTAACGTCTTCAAGACGAACAACAAAAACAACAGCAACAAATACCGATGGAACAAAACCAATAACAAGAGCAACAGCAGCAACAACAACAACAACAACAAAAAGAAACAAACGAGCCAAACAAGGCAACAGGTGACGGCAAGCAATGCGGCAATATACACGGAGCGCGGCTCTGCTTTCTTAAGCCGCTTTACAATTGTCTTGGCACAAAGTCAAGTCGCCGCCGCCGCCGCCACTCCTGCTGCTGCTGCAGCTACCTGAACGTACTCTGGCATGCTACTACTCAAGCACACCAACGTTCGTACGTATTTTGCTCGCTCCACATGACGGTTGGTGCCTACATGCGAATGCCCAGACGTATGTACATACATACATACAGCCATGCATGGGTTTATATGAGCCACAAGTGTATGTATGTATGTATGCTTCAACGTTTGTATGTATGTACGATCAATCGATTAAATTAACGTTGTGTAATGTTGATCTTGTTTTTGGTAACGTATTGGAGCATTGAGCTAAATGAGCTTAGCTGAGTAGCTCTTAATTTTCGGTCTTGCATTTAGTGCGGCCGGCCTGTATCAGGTGTGTTTTTCGCTGCTATGTATTTCATTCCGAAGGTCATGGCTGGTGCGGACAATCCTGATCGGACAGTATTAGTTTAGTGTTGAAGGAAAAAGGGTCCTCCTTAACGTTGTTGTTTGTTTGATTTTGAATTTAAATCGCGTTCGCTTAGAAAACTCGTTCAATGCAGATTGAGAGACGACGACGGCAGCGTAACTTATGCGATTTAGAACAAAATTAAAATTAATGCAAAAAATAGATAAATTAATATTTGCAAAGAAATAAACAATCAGCGCTTAGACTGTTATTTATAAACAAAAACTCTGTTGAAATAATTTTGACTGGATTTGAAATTTAGACAAACACACATGGACAAATAAATGCGAACGCATGGCGCACGTTAAATAAATTTAAGTTAAAAAATTTAAGTTTTTTTTTTTCAATAACAAATATACCAAAAAATACAAACAAAAAATTGTTGTGATTACTGCAAATAAATAAACAAAAGAATAAGAATATGGAAACGTGTGTTTTAATACCAAAAGAGTTGTCACTTGCCACAACAACAATAACGGCAAATCATGAAGCCGAAATCACAGTGTGGACAACATCGTACATTGAGCAAGGCACAATATTCTATCCCTTTCAAGGGACGATACGCTGGGACAAATTGGACGCATTTCAATATCTCGACGAAAACGATGTAAGTATAAGTAAGATAAAAACAACAAAATTAGATAGTATATTAATTGCACTGCATAATGTAGTGCAAATTTAATTAGTATGAAATTAATATGGACTTATACTTACTTACATATGATATAGAAATTTCAATAAATAGTATTGTGAAATGAAGTTTATCACAAGCGACGGATATTCGAGTTAGTTAAATGCATTTAGTCAAGGAAGTTAAAAGACATACGTACATACATACATACACAGTATACACACATCCATATCTACATACACTGATTTCGGAAAGTAGATAGGGCCGATAATGTAGGAGAAGTATAGCTATTTCGAACGAAAAAATAGTATCGGTTAGGTTAGATTTATTTACGTAGGTTAGGTTTATTTTGATACGGAAAATTTATTTTTTTGCACTAAGAGTACAAATCAAAATTATATTTTGGCAAGTAGGGATTCAGTAATTAATTTTGTAAAGAAAAATTTTTAATTTTTTCCTCCCGGTTAGGGTAAAAATTTGAGATTAGGCTTATTTTAACCGTGAAAAATCACATTTATGCATTAAGAGTGTAAATTAAAATGGAGTTACGGAAAGTGGAAACTAAGTTTTTTTAAAGAAATTCCAAATTTTTCCCGACTAGGGTAAAAGTTTGAGGTTAGTTTTCTTTTAACCCTAAAAACGCAGCCCTAAGCGGGTAAATTAAAATAGTGTTTGAGCAAGTGGGAGCTCAATAACACAGGAACCGTAAAAGTTATGATATCTATTAGGAAATACATATAATTTAACCATTAAAATAACTTACCTTTTTTCCAAGGGACCGAAAATAGATAACCGTTAAATATCAAGATTGCGATTTTTAGATCATTGCGAAATCGTTATTATTTAATCATAAAATTTGGATTTTTGTTTTTGCGGTCAAATTTAATCTTTATTTTATGATTTCCAACAAAAATAGTCGTTATTTTNAATCAAATTTAATCTTTATTTTATGATTTCCAACAAAAATAGTCGTTATTTTGGGTTTTTATCTTTTTCGATACTATTTTAGCCGTTGTGATGGAGGTTGCAATTTTTTTTACCGGTTTAAATCTTTTATGATATAAAAAATTAGATCTGAAAATAACGGTTATATTATGATCGAAAAAAATAAAAACAATTACTTTTGACGAAAAAATAAATAAAAATAGTTACGGTTAGGTTTGATCAGAAAATAGGAATTACATTTTAACGGTTAAATCCCAGTGGGAAAATGTAATGTATAGTAATCGAAAAAAATAATCAGTAAACCAACCTAGTATCGAGAGATGAATGTGTTTTAATATGAAATTTTTGGAACATTAGAATGCTGATTACATAGTTAGCAGTAATATTATCGAGAACGCATAAGAAATACATTATATTATTTATCACGCATGTAATGCATTACTACTTTTCCGACTGGGATTATATATAAAGATCATAACCGTTGCAGTCCTTGATTTGTTCGATAATATCGTTATTTTATGATTTTTTTCGATTAGGAGTAATCGTTATTTTCTCACTTTTATATTTTCTGATTTGAGTTTTTTAGATTAAAAAGAATTTAAAGCGGTCATAAGAACGTATGTATGATCAAAAAAGTGAAATCTCAAATATAACGGTTATAAACCAAGGAAAAAAAGTAAAAAAAAACAGTTATTTTTTATTAAAAAATCTTCCAACAAAAAACAAATCAAAATAGCCGTTATTTGCGATCCCTGCCGCAATCACTTTGATAAAAAAAAAAACAGCCTCTCCAGCCGGAGCGAAAATTTGAGGTTAGGTTTACTTGCACACCCACAAATAAGGTGTTCTAAGGTAGATATACATAGTATGTAGATGGGCAAAACGTTTAGCGCCGGAGTCGCAGTGCTTATACGTACATATTACATACATACATATGTATGTACACAGAAGCGACGCAGCGAATTCCGATTCGGTCTGCTTTCAGATTTCACGAAGGTAGTTCTCCGCTCGGCTGTTAATTGTTTTTGTTCGTATTTTTAGTACACGCTTGCCATATTTTGTGTAAGAAATTAACCAAAAATGCCCCAAGCAAAATGGAGTGTGTTTTTATTCACTTAGCTTTTACTTTGGTCTTCGCATGTAGAATTTAAAAAATATAAAGGCTCTATGAGCTGTGAAAGGACACAAATAATTTTATTTCAGAACAATTAGTTTCTAACTAAATAATCGATTTTTGGAGAAGTGTAAATGGTGGTTCTTACGCTAAAAGAATGAATAGGTAGTGCTTATAAGTTATATTGTGAGTGTTCACAGTTGCTTGGTTATCAGGTTTTATAGTTAAACACCATTATTTTGTAGAATATTTTATTGTAGTAGGCTGGCAAAATATATATATATATAGCAGCGTTCTTAATTTTAATAATTTAACTAGTCTGTAAAAAAGTTTGTAACTTGTAACTGAATAAAATAAATAAATAAATAAATAAAAAAAATATATTACCCAATAACCAGATAACATGATAACCAGACATGTGTGAACACCCACACTGTATTTTAGAACTTTCTCATTAATGTGAAAGTGGTTTTTTACTTATGAAAATAATAAAACAAATCTAATAAAAGTATGCCCACATATTAAAGAAATAAGTTATACCATTTAATTTTTTTTTTACAATTTTGCAAGCATTAAATTTTTCAGATGTAATTTGTTCTCTTAACTGTGTACTATTAGTTACCAAAAACTTACAAAATTAATTGCTTAACCATTTAAACAAGCAAAAAAAGCCAAAAAGTCCACGCACGAAAAGGACCCAGTTTTAGCACATTTATAACAATGTGGCAACCATGAGTGGGCATGGCGCACTGATACCACAATCAAATGGGATTGTGTTGGTGTGCCCATCTAGGTTCTAAAGGCATAAATCAATATAATATTTTTGCAAGAGGAAGTTCATTTTATATTAGCAATACCCTTCTTAATTTTGTCAAATAAACCTTAAATGTAGTAAAACAAGTGATTTTTAAGCAAAAAACAAAACCGACTTCTATGCTCATATAAAAATTTAAGATAATCGTTAATCTCGTCATGATTCAATGATCGGATTTAAACCAAATTAGAATGGGACCACCTGTGAGGTAACACCTTTCCTTTAAAAAAAGAGTTATAGAAACCGGTTAACCGTGGTCCAAAGTTATGCGGTAACATACATTATAAAAAAATATATATATATATATTCGACGAATTCATAACCTTCCTTGTTTTTGTGAAGTCGGTTAAAAATATAGAACCTTAATATGAGAAAATATTTTATTTCAAGCTGAGAAATTCAAGTATTCAATTTTGGCTTATTTAACGCCAGCTTGGATAGGATTATCGAATTTATACTTGGGAAAGTAAAGTGAAAGCAAACTGTCCTCCGCGGGACCGTTTACAGGACTTAGTCAATTGGTGATAAATTCGTTTATATTTTCACACAATTTGGCCATTAACTCGCTATAACTTGCAATACTTTGCACTACAATTGCTCCACAATTCTGAAATTGCTCGTATAAACATAGTTTCCTGCATAGCCCCTCAAAAACACATTGCTATAACTCGAAGTTCGCGTCCTGAGCATTTTACTGGCAAGAGTCTCATAACTGCGTTCTTGAACTACATTTAATACAAACGAAAATCTTCAGTCTCAGCAAAAAAGTCATTGATCATGCCAGTATGGACCGGTGAATTGAAGAGAATGCAGCTGTCATCTAAGTATACTGAGTATTCTCTGATTTTCTGGATGCCTCTCTCTCATTCAGATTATATAACTTTGACAGAATTTTTCAAGCGGACGAAAAGTCCGGTATTTGCATCGAGCAACCACGGCGGGGAGTGGCGGAGGGGTTATGTAATGCAAGAGCAGCCACAGACGCGAAATCGGTCTAGCATCTTAAATGTTTGCAGAACATTTCTAAACTGCATTTTTCTCAAAGTTTTTTCTAGATTTACATCTATATAAAATAAAATGGTACAGAACCGCACCAATATTATAGGATAGTAAAGCCACTTCGTAAAATTTTGCGAGATTTATTCGGGATTTTTTGCGCAGTGTGAATAGAGCTTTGTATATACGTATATGTATTATTTTTTGTATCAAATTAGTTTCAAGAAAATCCGTATTCCTTTCAGGAAGCTACCAGCGGCCAGTGAGTGGGCAAGACTTTTGAGTAAATGTGTCACAAAGCAGCATTAGCATTTTTTTTTATAAATAATTTCGGAGGATAATATACACATTCAGTTAAAATGAACGGTTTTACGAAGACAGTATAATAAGAATCAGTGCTTTATGCATATCTGCCAAACAACATGTTTAATTGATTTAAGAAACTATCTACATTTTAATTTTTATTTTCGATAAAGCTTCTCAAAATATTGTACAAGCATAAACATTTATTCTTTTGTCACTCTTTCGTTGCTTGTTTGCCAATTTTTCATATTAATTACAAAATTAGCTATGATTTGTTGATACAACAGTTGAAATCCTGCTGCTGGTAGTCCAGACTTATCTCAAATGGACTTTTTTCTTTTGCGGATACCTTAGAAGTAAAGTTTTCAACAACAACCCAGTGTCTAATGGGAATTAAAGGAACGTATTCGCGAGGAAATGCAAAACATTTCACGAAACACCTGTTAAGCAGTAATTGAAAATTCCGCCCCAGGTTGCAGCAGTGTCAAAGGATCACATATAGATGATGCAATTAAAATAATGCCAATTTGTGTACTTTCATAATAAATAAACTGTTTTCATATCGTTTATCTAAAAAATTTTGTGGGTAACAAACAGTGAGATTTTACGAAAGATATTTGTGTATCCGAACTCAAAAACCATAGCGTAAATCTGACGCAGAACAAATAAATAAAATGCTTACCGAACATGCTGTACAGATTTTTCTAAAGCTTAGCAAAAATCATATTTATATGCATTAATAGAAGCGTAATCAAGTTAAAAACGCTATTTAATTCACACCATTCAAATAATCAATTATTTGTA